ACACAGTCAGTAATAATTTATAAGAAAAAGACTACTTGAGAGCTTAGCTATCAACCGGGTAACACACTGAGCAGAGACGTAGAAAAATGTCCTCATGACGCTGGTTCACCCTGACCAGTCCCTTAGTCTGAGTATTTGATGACCACTCCTGATCTCTGAGCGCACCCCTCTCCAACAAGATATCAACTCTGACCTCCCCAATTTCTGCCCACCTCCACTGCTCTGTGCCCTCCCTGTCCTGATCCAGGTGCTGAGAGCAGGTGCCCCTCCCTGCTCACCTGGGCTGTGCAGAGCCCTCCTGGGGCTTCCCACCCTGTTCAGCTCGCTTTGCTTCCTCCTAGACACTGTGAGCTACAGACCCCCAGACTCTCCAATGCATCACGTATTCTCCAACTGTAATGAAAGACGCCCTTGAGTTCAAATGGTACTAAATCCCCATTTATTTCCACTCACTCTGAATACTTGACGCAAGTCAAGAATGACACATACGCGGGACTAGCAGTTAGCGTAATGGCTATGTCACTGGACTCCCAAGTAGTCGACTGCTGTTCAAGTCCCGGACCTGGTGGCTTCAAACTCACACAGGCGCGTGTGCATGCATGCCCAAGATCCCGAGAGGAGAATGGAGGAGAAGGGATTGCGGTGTGGCCATCCCCCCTGGTGGGTGATTTCTCGCTTTCTGTCTCTCCATCTCTGTCTCTGTCTGTCTGGCGAGCGCACACGCTCTATAGCAAAAACCTCTCAAAAAAAAAAAAAAAAAAAACACTCGTCAAGGTGGAAAGATCAAATGCTAAAAGATAAAGCATTAAAAGATTTACCAACACTTCACTAGGGAGTGTCAATAGGCGAACATGGCAAAATAGCTGCAAGATATTTTAAATACACGTGCCCACGAAGATTCCTCTGTGATAATATTCTCCCATCAATCACCTCCTCTTCAAGCTTAAGTGTTTTTTCCTGCCTCATTCAAAGTCTCTCTGGTCCTGGCCACTCTTTCATCCACGCTGCTTCCCTCTCATGTCCTGCCCCAGCCTCCCCCAGAGCAAACACAGGTCTCCAGTGGCCAAAGTGACTAATCAGCCTGGACCTCAGGGTCCCTTTTCTTTGAATCCTCTTGTCATCCTGCCCCCGAATCTTTGACTTCCTTCAAGACCAGGTTTATACATCATCTTCTGGAGAAGCTATGGCCCCAGGAAGTGATTGTACATTTATTTCATAATATATTCTCTGCAGAGAGAGAGAAGAAGAGTAACGGGAGAGGGGACATCTCATGGGCAGAGTCACTGCAGCCTGTTCTCCATTTACCTACTCTGTCAAGATTGGGACATGTGCCTAGCTTGTTTTTAAGCCTCCAAGACTAGGATTCGAACTGTAATCAACCATGTGGGTTCTGGGTCCTTTAACTATGAGGGAAAAGACTGACCCATTCATTTTTTTTTTAATTATAAGTAGTTTATAAGTATCCCTCCAAACATAAGATTTTAATAAGTTGTGTGATTAAATAAATGTAGCAATAGAAATAGTAAAGAAAGGATAGGCCTGTGATTTCTATTGTCTGACTCATTTTTAAAATTGTGTGTATCTATTTACACACTCCAAAGCACGGTTTCTAAATTCTACAAATGCTTTATCTTTTAGCATTTCATCTCTTCGATGTGGAGAGAAGTGTGTATCATTCTTGCACCGTGTCAGGGATTGAGTGTGAGTGAAAATAAACCGTGAACTCAAGGTTGTCTGTTATAATCTGGGGAAAATGTGACTCCCAAGTCAACCTGAAAATCTATTTCTTATGGTCATTTCATTTGAAATTTACCTACGCCAAGAGAATTTAGCTCTTCATCTAATTAAGGATTTTAAGCAAAGCTTTAGGGTACCCAGAAAGTCTAACACATGAACTACAGAAAATTTCCCAGCTCAAATTTTTATATCCATTTTGCAATTTCCTATGTGTCATTTAAGATAACTCCTAGATTTCTATAAGATTCTTGTCTATTGGAGTAATAATAATGGAAACACATAGAAGGGATTAATGGTAACTTCCAGGGTTTGAATATGTCCTGCAAAGTTTATGTGCTGGAAACTTCATCCCCAGTGCAGCAGTGTTGGAGGTAGGGCCTAATAAGAGAAATTATTCTTGTCTGCAGTGAGTGAGTGACAGCCAGAATGGGTTGTGACATCTGTGAGCTCAGCCCCCATCACTCCTGTCCTCTTGCTCTTCCACCTTCCACCATGGGGTGACTCACATGAAGGCCTCCTGAGTTTCTGGGCCATGCTCTTGGACTTCCCAGACTCCAGAACCTGCGTCAAGTGAATTCTTCCTCATCGTAAACTATCAACCTATTTTATTCAAGTCTAGTAACACGAAATAGACCAAGACAGTAACACATTGCTCTGTTATAGCACACACCAATGTGTGGGTTTTCTGTAACACCCAGAATTCTTTGAATGGTGAGTAAGACACCCATGGTCTTGTCCTGCAGACAGTGGAGCCCAAGGTTTATACCTGACAACGTGCAGGGCCTCTCCTTGACATCCTCACCATCCTCATTCCATCCTAGTAGAACTTCTCAAGCCTGGGGACAGGAGAGCCATTTAGAGTAGGTCATCTATGTCCAAACTGTCCACATTTACTGAGAGAGAAAGAGAGAGAGAGAGAGAGGAACAGTTAGCTTTATGCCAACAGAACTCTGTCCTTTCACTTGGGTCTTGGATGTAGCCCATAAATCCTTTGGATTTCCCCTGTGACCACACCTCACATTTTACTAGTCAGTGACTAATGGTGGGCTCCCACTTAGGCTCAAGAAAAGGATGGCTCTACCAATTAGACCAGCTAACTGACTAAAGTGCTGGGCATTTGAACCACTTACATCAGTTCATCCTCCTGACCTTCAATGGATTGACAAGAGTTGAAAATTGAGTTCGATTTAATCATGTCTATGTAGCATAACTCCATAAAACTATGCACACTGCTATATTGGGTAAATTTTATCTTTTTTTTTTAAAGTGAGATTTTTGCTCTAGGGTGAGTGCACTTGCCAGAGAGACAGAGACAGAAAATGAGAAATCATGCCCCAGCGGTTATGGCAACACCACAATCCCTTCTCCTCCATTCTCTTCTTGGGATTTTGGGCATGCACGTACCCACGATCAACCTGAGTTTAAAGCTGCTGACCCTGGGACTCAAACTGCAGTCAACCATGTGGGAGTCCAGTGATGTCACCATTACACCATCTGCTGGTCTCAAAGTTTACTTATTAGCCCCATGGCTGAGAGAGACAGCAATATAATATCCCTAACAAATCCTGCTACATCACCCACTCCCAGCTTCAGTCAGCTCAGATCATGAGATTCTGTAATCCTGGCATACTCAGGGCAGGATCCAGATGAGAATCAGTCACTGTCCCAGGAGGCTCAGCCTGGCATAGTGTCTAGTTTTCCCTGGGTGGCACCATTCAGCCTCATGAGTGAACACCTAGGCTTAGAGTTTGCATTACTAAGAAAATCACCTGAGACTGGGGGTTTATACAGAAATATAGGTTTAGTGGCTCAGGATTCTGGGGAACAGAACATGACTGACAAGCAGAGAGTACATGGGTGAACGCAGAGCGAGAGAGACAGAGAGAGAGAGTGAGTGAGAGAGAGCAAGATCTGCAGGCAACTCTGTCATGTATGAACCCTGCTTTCATGATCACTAATCCCACACTATGAGAGCTCAAACTCACTGGATCTCTAATCATGAGGTAGTTTGTCTCCATGATCAAATCACTGCTCCCTAGACCTCACCTCTCAAACACCATCACACTGGGGACCTATATAAACGGATGAATGTTTGGGAGAAAAATCATGAGACAAACCATAGTGGTATTTCTGTATCAGTGTAAGGAGAGGGTGATCATCCTGAGGACACAGTCCAGGTGTGGAAGCTCTTAGAACTGACCATGTGTGTCTCTTCAACTGAATCATTTTGACTTGCCTCTCTTAAATAACCTGAGGTGCTTGTGAGAGATAGAAAGCGAGAAATCACCTCCCGGGGGGCATGGCCACGCCACAATCCTTCTCCTCCATTCTCCTCTCGAGATCTTGGGCATGCACACACACTCACCCAGTGTGAGTTTACGTCACTGGGTCCAGGACTTGAACCACAGTCGACTACATGGGAGTTTGGCTACTTAGCCATTACATTATATGCAGGTCCCAATTTTATTTTTTAAGTGAGATTTTTGCTATAGGGCATGTGTATTCACTGGAGAGACAGAGAGAGACAGAAGCCTGGAATACCTCCCTCCCCCGGGTGAGTGGCCACACTGCAATCCCTTCTCCCCCATCTTTCTCTCAGTATTTTAAGCATGCATGCGTATATTCCCAAGATGAGTTTCAAGTCTCTGGGACTCGAACCTTGGTTGGCCATGTAGGAATCCAGTGACATAACCATTATGCCATCTGTTGTTCCCTAGAGTCTGATTTTTACAATGTCTTGCCATGTCAGAATACTCAAGCTCCAGCTTCCCGTTTAGCTAGGATGATAGGTGTGTAGAACCTAGTCCGCCTCATTCAAGAAGGGTGAGGAATTGAACCCAGACCTCCCAGGTGGCTTCAGCCTCAGCCCCACCTTCTTCGCAGCACACAGCACCACAGTTGAGCCTCTGGGTTGATCTACACATATTAAATTGAAGCTGAATTTTATCATGATCATGTCTAATTTCTTGTGTGGTAATTCAATGTTGGCTGACATGATCCAGAATTGAGTATGTGTGTGTGTGTGTGTGTGTGTGTAAGAGAGAAAGAGAGAAATTAACCTTTGTCTCTGTTAACTTTCATCACTACTGGGCACATGAAGAAATATGTTTACACTTGCATTAACATTGCACATTAGCATAACAGGTAAACCAAAACAAAGGATAATGGATCCAAGCCCATCCTGTGGTGCCACAGAGAACGAGCTTCCTGAGCCCACAGAAGCTACAGGCAGCCTCGCTGCAGGAGACAGAGACGTCAGGAGCTCAGGGTGAGGCTGAGCTGAGGGTTTGTGTCTCACTTCCCCCCTGCCACCTGTCACTGTGGTAATGGTCGCCATGCCACAGAGCACAGAAATACTCAGCCTCGTCCTCAGGCTGGGCCCCCGTGATGGTGAAGGCAGCCTTGCCTCCAAGCAGGGAGCCTGAGAATCGGGCAGGGACTCCCGGAATCCGGTAGTTGGTGCCACTTATTAGACCCCGGGGTGCCTGGTAGGGCATCTGTTGGACCCATGTAGCATGGTTGCTGGTGGTGACGGCTCCAGCACTGGAGCCACAGGTGAGCGTGACCGTCCCCCCAGGAGTCATGGACAGTGAAGGTTCCTGAGTCACCACAACCTGGGAAGCGGCTCCTAAGGACAGGTGAGAAGCCAAATAGTCAGGAGAGAGACAGGGCCATGAAGGGTCAGGGTCACCTCCCCTCCCTCAGCCCAGGCAGAGCCCCTGACCTGCACAGTGAGCCAGGAGTGTGAGCAGGAGAGGAGCCCAGGCCATGGCACAGACCGCCCAGGGCTGAGCTTTGCAGGACTGCTCAGCACAGAGCCAGACCCGCAGCTGCCATTATAACCCCACAGCCTGAGGGGCGGGGCCTTCATGCAAATAGGCTCTCCTTCCTGGGGACCTTACCTGGCCAGGTCAGAGGTTCTGAGAAATCACACAGCAGTAGCAGGTGTTCATGGGACCATTTCCAGTTCCTCCTCCACTCCCAGGACCTGACACAGTGCCCTCTAGTGCCCATTGCTAGAATATCAGCGCTAGAAAGTTACTCTCCTCTGCTCCTTCCCCTTCCCCTCCCTCTCCTCACAGGTCTGGCAATATTGGTTTTGTAACTAAGTCAAACTTATGTTTGAAAGATCCCAGACCAGACTCAAAAAAATTGAGGGAAGGGAACCAGCAGTTAGCGTAATGGCTTTGTCGCTGGACTCCCACGTAGTCGACCGCGGTTCGCGTCCCGGACCCGGTGGCTTAAAACTCACGCCAGGCGCGTGTGCGTGTGCGCCCAAGATCCTGAGAGGAGAATGGAGGAGAAGGGATTGCGGCATGACCATCCCCCCTGGGGGGTGATTTCTTGCTTTCTGTCTCTCTGTCTCTCTCTGTCTGTCTGGCGAGCGCACGCGCCCTATAGCGAAAATCTCTCAAAAAAAAATTTTTGAGGGAAGGGAAGTTTTGAGTGTACACCAATGGAAAAAAAAGGAAAAAAGAAAGAAAAGAAGAAGAAAGAATTACTCTATACAAAAGGTGCCATAATAGACTAACATTTCTATATTTTTCTGGATTTAGCCACTCAAATTTGTGTTTAGAATAAACCACATTCTACTTATTTCTACAGAGGTTGGCTATTTCCATGGTGAGTATCCTCTAATATATTTGTTTGAAGGGAGGCACAGACACTGGAGTTTTTTCGTGTATTTCCAGGAGAGGAGGCTGCTTGTAATGGTTTAGATGAGTCCTTGTCCCCCAAAGTTTGTGTTTGGCGATGTGGTATCGGACATGGTGAAGCCTAGTGGGAGGTGACTGGATCGCAGTGATTACTTCAAGGAGACACCACTCTCGTGGATAGAAGAATGATGTCTGATGAGACCCAGTGAGTGTGCGCTCTCCTGAAAAAGGGCTAGTTCTCGCGAGAGCTGCTTGTTATACACAATATCTGCCCATGGCTTGTGCCCTTTCCTGAGATTCCTTGTGGTCATGGTGGCCATATGGTAGTCAGGTCCGATTCCAGGTCTACACCTTCAAATTATCCAGCCATCAGAATTGTAAGTCAGGGGGCTGGCAGGTGGTGTGATGGTTAAGGCTGCTGGACTCCCACATGGCCAGCCTCGGTTCAAATCCTGGACCTGGCAGCTTACTTTCTCACTCTCTCTCTCTTTCTGTCCCTCTCTAGTCAAATTAAAATAAATAAATAAATAAAGCTAAATAAAATAATTCTTTAAAAAAATAAAAAGAATTGTGAGTCAGTAAGCGTCTCTTTCTTTCTATATCATCCAGTCTCGGGTATTTCTGTTAGTCATGCACAAACGGAGTGAGACACCACTGGGCCAGGAAATCCCTTGTGTTCAGTACTTACAACCTCTGAGAGTGTAACAGGGAGATATGCTCCCGGGAAACACCCTCAGGTGGGATCAGAGAGATCATCTGGGACCCAACTGTGTATGCGCCCTCCTTTGGATATCGATTTATAATCAAGATCTTCATTTAAACCTCTGATGACCTACGTATGATCAAGGAGCCTCGCGTGCTTCTGTAAGTGGGGTGGATGTGTGTTTCTTTTTGGTGGCTGAGCTTGTTTTTGGTCTTCAGAGAAGGGAATGGACGGGTCACATTGGATATTTTTCTATAGACATCTTGAGGAGTTCAGATGAGCCTCTCCGGACTTGCTCTAAGGACTGAGGGGACCACGTGCAGACCCTGGGTCAGGAGGGAAAGACCTGGATGTGATGCCCTAGATGGAAGAGAGGAGGAGGGCTCCTACCTACCTGGAACGTGTGTGGCTAGAACACTTTTCTGAGCAGATCACAACTCCTGACTCTCAAGCTCAGGGGTGGTCAAGTGGTCTTAATGACTCTTTCTTGATCTTCCTCATTGGTCTTCAGTTTCATAGAGATTGCTGTCCTCACTGTGTTGTGGTTCGTCCCTCCTCCTTGTCTCCCACTTCCAAATCCAGCTCCTAAGCCCCAGCAGTAGTGCTCAGCCTTCGCCTTGGGCTGGACCCCCAAGAGGTTCAGGGAGGTTTTGTTTCAAATCAGGGTTCCTATAAAGGGCTGGGGTCCAGGAGACTCTGCTGTTTGTATCAAAAAAAACTATATCTGGGGGTATGACCAGGCTTCTATTAAAACCAGTGGTCACCACTGGTGACCACGCCAGTGCTAGAGCCACAGATGAGAGTGACTGTCCCTCCTGGGAAACATGATAACTGAGGTCCTGAGTCACCACAGTCTGAGAACCAGACCCTAAAACAAAACCAGACACACATCAGAAAGAGGAATGACAGAGGGGTCCTGCCAAGGCCTGTCCTCAACCCTCTCCATGCATTGGGCAGAGAATGAAGAGAGGCAGGAGAACGAGGGGTGTCCAGACCATGCTGTGGGCACTCCCCAGGTCCCAGAACCTGCAGCTGAAGCTGGACTCTGGGTGGCTCTCTGATCTCCTCCTCCACTCCCTGGCAAAGGTGTGATTTAAATGCAATATTATGCAAATGGGAGCCCTTTACCTCCCAGTCCTTCCACACTGGGCCTCAGCCCTGGGAGCAGCTGCTCTGTCAGGAGGTAGTGGCCATGAGCTCTGAGGTTCCCCATGGGAAGAAGCACCTGCTGTGGCCTCTCACTCATGCCAGGGAGCAACGCCAGGCCATGACCTGGGAACCTGGTGCATTTGTTCAGCCTTGCTCCCCGCTAGCAGCTCCACAGCGCCCACTGCTGGGCTTGGATAAGTATCATTTTTTTTTAGTCCGGTTGTGTTGATTTCCCCAGTGTCTGAATTCAATTTCATTCTTACCTGTTCTTGATTCCCTGCAAAGAGATTTTTAATTTTAAAAACTTCATTGGCTTTATTTTTCAGTTCTATAACGATTTCTTTTCTAAGAGTCTCTCTTTTTCCATGTGCTTCAAGTCGATCATAATTGTTCATCCAAGAAATGTCATGATTGCTGTTTTTAAAATCCCTGCCAGATCCTTTTAGCACCAAAATCTCCTTGGCAGTGTCCCTGTGTCTCGATGGCCTTTTCTTGTTCAAGTTGTGATTTTTATGATTTTTGAAATGAGGGGTTTTTTTTTATTATATGTATCACATTTTGGATATAGGTGACTTTGGTTTTTCTTTTTTTCTTTTTTCTTTCTTTTTTTTTTATGTTTCTTTCGCCATGGGACCCTACTGTTCTGTGTGTCAGAGAACATGGGTCGCGTGCTCAGCTCCGCAGTGGCCTCAGCTGCTGTGGCACCCAAACTCTCAGGCTCAGGAACTCAGACACCTTCTTGGGGATGATTCAGCAGTGGTTGTGTTGACTCACTGCCTTGTAGTGGGTGTGAGGTCAACTTTGGGAACCCCACTGATGGCGCAGAGGGGGTGCCAGGCTGGGTGAAGCTACTCTGTTGCTGCTGTGAGGGGGGCTGATGGAAACTCAGTTCTTCCTGGGGTCCACTGGGTCTCACTGACCAGGGAGGGGAGGTGACACCTGCAGTGCCCAAGACCTCTTGTCACCTCCTCTTCAGTACCTTCAATGCCAGGTTAGGGGGGGCTAAGGCAGAGGTTGTCACCGGACCCATAGTTTCCATGAGATTCCTGGAGTGCAGACCAGCTCTGCCTGAAGAAACTCTTTCAGTCTCATTGCTGAGGATGGGGGTGAAGTGCAGCTCCCCCTGGACCCTGCTACCCTCGGGGAGGGGCACTGAGTGATAAACAGCCCCAACTGGCCCTGCCCGGCTCAGCGCTGGGGGACACTGTGGGGTGGAGGCTCAGCTTGTGGCTGGACCCACTGACACGCCCATGAGGGAAATGGGGGCTCTACCTGCTTCTGCTGGGAGGGGGAGGGCAGGCCCTTCTTAGCACAGTGGGGTTCCCAGGGGGTGTTGAGCTTGGGAGCCTGCGAATCTTCCCATGAAGGAAGCGGGGCATTACAAGAACATTTCCTGCAGTTGCCATTTCATTGCTGAGGTTTCCCACGTTGTCATCCACTGTGAGCGTGTTACAACGGAACTGACAGTGAAGCTACTGATGCATTCAGGAGGTGGTTTTAATTGTGTCAGTGCAGGTGGCCCAGGGTTGCGCCCCATCTACAGCTCCCTCCTGCAGGGCGGTGCTGACCACAAGGCCCACAGTGAAGCTCAGTCCAGAAGCATCTCTCAGTTGCTCTTAGACCCTGACCTGGGCTCGGCCCATCCAACCTCTTCAGGCTCCTCCAACATCACTGGGGGTATCTTGAAGACCAGACACTTCCCTGCTCAGTCCTCACAAAATGCAGATCTGAGATCACAAAGCTCAGAACCATGGTCATTGAGCTACTAAAATCGATCATAGTGATGAATTTTAACGCAAAATTGATGTCTCTGTGGAGACAAACTGTATCTCGCTGCTGTACATGTGACATTTTAATCTGAATATTCAAAATAGAACACACTTCATCAGGTATTGACAACAGGTAGGGAGTGTGTCATTTTGGACTAAAAGGGGTACAATTTCTAGTCTCAAATAAGCTTCGTAGACCTATAAACTGTCCATCGGGAGGGGCCTCAGACACGAGGGAAAATATCATGTCACACCTGCGGAACAGTGTTTGATAGTGAAGCTGATGAATGTGAAATATTTCAATCCTGTTCTGCCCAGTTACACTTTCTCTGCACTTTCCCTCCCCCACCATCTCACTGAACTCTGTCCTCCGGAAGCTTGGTATTTCCCAGAATGCCATGGACCAGACTTGGTGCTGCCCTAGCTCTGTCCCTGGCTGGAGGCAGAGAGTCTCCCTGGGACAAGGTGGAGTCTCAGAGAAGGGAGGAGGGGCTCAGCCAGACCCAGATCTGCTCCCTCGTGGGCTGAACAGGAGACTTCGTTACTGGGTCACTGCCTCCGGGGTGTGGTTGAACCCCAGGACCACACACAGGACACAGCTATGTTCCTTTGCAGTGTGATTCTCAGTGGACTGCACTCGTTTGAGAATTACGCTTACATACTTATTATCATTTTATGAAATACTGGGAGACGGCTTGATATGGGGAACATTTTATAATAACAGATGAAAGTATATTTTAAGGCTAAGAAAATGAGTATCACAGGCCAGGACCAGTAGGGTCTGAAGTTCTTGTCCCACTTCCTCATCTGCCTGTGTCACTGTGAGCAGCATTGCTGTACCAGACACTGCAGTAATAGTCGGCCTCGTCCTCAGGCTGCAGCCCAGCGATGCGCAGAACGCCTGCATTGGCCGAGGTGTCCTTGGATCCAGAGAAGCGGCTGGGGACCCCGGAGCCCTGGTGCTTACGGGAGCCTGTGTAGTAGCTCAGAAGATACCGCGGAGGGCCTTCGGACTTCTGCTGGTACCAGTATATCCAGTAGTTACCCACATTGGAGCCACTGCTCAGGGTGCAGGTGAGTCTGGCAGATGCTCCAAGAGATGCAGAGAGGGAGGGCGGCTGGGTCAGCACAGGCTGGGAGAGGGAACCTGCAGACACAGACACACGAGAATCATGGGGCAGGGACAAAGGCGGTGATGCTTATAGACCTCAGCCAGAAGAGACTGAAGCAGGCATTGGTTTCTTTTCTGTCCCCAAGGCCTGTTTTACCTGTGCAGTGAAAGAGGAGTAAGAGGAAGAGAGGAGTCCAGGCCATGGTGGACACAGCCCCTGGTCTGACATAGCTGGGTTCCCCAGGCCCCCTTTTCTTCCCACCCTCTGCCACAGGAGGGGCTCTTCATGCAAATGTGTGTCCACCCAGTGACTGCCCAGCCCCTCCCTGAGCCCTGGGCTGGGGCTCAGCTCACACTGTAGACTGAGGGGGAGAGAGGTTGGCTCCGCCCCTTGGTGAGCCCTGGGAGGAAGCACTTACTGAAACAATACAAAAGACTTGTCCAGGGGACTGTGCCAGTCAGAGAGGACACAGCTGCTGGGTCCCCATCAAGGAGCACAGGGCCAGCCCTAGGATAGGCTCCTGTGATGAATGGCCCTGACTGAGCAGCTGCACAGAGACTGCCGGATAGTCCCACAGCACCCCCTTCTAATCTCAGGGCACACACCTGCCCTCGGACCTGAACCCCAAGAGCTCAGCTTTCTCTGCAGCTCATCAGGCACAGCCTCTGCTCACACCTGCAGTGTCTGATTCCTAGACACGGAGAGTACAGCTCTCTGTGTGGGTATTGTCACTCACAGAAGGAGTCCTGCTGTGGGAGGAACAGAAATACCTGAATGACCCCTTCCTGTGCCAGCTCCTCCAGAGAAGACCCTGCAAGCTCTGCATCCTCAGAATACACAACGCTTCTCAGTTTGCACACCTGTGCTGGAAAGGAATGTGTTCTAAGTACTCTCCCATGAATGAGTAGGTCAGTCTCCTCGATTTAGTTACAAGTTGGTTTTAATCTTGCCTCATGGAAAGGGCGCAGTGTACTCCCTCACACACACCCCCCACCGTGTGCAGCCCTGGGCTCCCACCCATGTTGCTTTGTTGGAATAAAGCCCGGATGAGCACCAGCCTTCTTCAGCCCTTGGTCATCAGCCTCCTAAGGCCATCCTTCCAGGGTGCCATGGTCTCCTGGGGACACACAGCCCACTTGTCCAGCTGTCCTTGCTTGGAGTTTTCTCACTAGGGGCCTTTGAAGGGCTCTGGATTAAAGATGTGAGTATGGTCGTCTCATTGAAAATGTTGCCAATTGTAAGATGCGTATTTAAGGTTTTGTTAGTATATGCTGTTGAGAGGTGGCCGCTTACAGGTTCCAATCTTGCTCTGCAGTGCATGGGCTCACGGAGGCGTCTTCTGTGCTCGGACCTGCTCCCCATCTGCCGCTCCCTGGGGTTTCTTTACTCAGTCCCTGGAAGCCCATCACGTCATTCTCCTTGGTCTGTGCATGACCCGGTGGCACCCAGTCCATCCTCCTGGTCACCTTCTCTGGGGTTCAAGTCCATGTTTCTCTCCCATTTCTCTAGATCTTGAGGTCAAAGTTCTTACTTTTCATGGCCTTGTCATCAAACCCAGATCTGCAAATGCAAAATGCCCAGAAATAAAAAGAAATCATCTCTATGTGTGACCTGCTCCTCCTCACGAGGCTACAAGTCTGGCGAATTCAGGTATTCAGTCAACAAAGCATCCTGGGTTTGTCCTTTGCTCGAAATCAGGTTCTGAGCTCTGTAATGGTAAAGGATATAAGAAAGAAGAAACGAAAAGGAAAAATAATCCCTCTTCTCAGAACTCACAGCAGTGTAGACACAGTGCACAGAATAATTAACTAAAAAAAGACTTTCCCACCCACACCACTCACTCTCCAGCACGTGTAGCCCCATCCTGACTGCTGAGAGTCCCTCTCTCCTTCCACAGAACGGGGTCCTGACCTTGCCCATGCTGTGTCCACAGCCTTCCCTGGTCTGCACCTGGGCTAGGTTATCAGTTAGTCCCATGGCAGTGGGTCCAGTGACTCCAACCTCCTCCACAGTGGTCAGGATCACTGTTGGGAGCCAGGAGCTCATCCATGATTGCTGGTTGTGACTGTCATGGGCTCTTGCACAGATGTCATTTCATCGTTATCCAGAAGTTGCACGAATATCCTGGTCTCCGTCTAAATTTTCACAGGTAGCCAAGGTTAACTTTTCTGGATATAATATCGATTTCATTAGCTGATACACTGAGGGATATTTGTCAATATCAGCTACGTGCATAAGATTCGAGGTTTCAAATCTGCTATCGTCCCAATGGAGGTGGGCTTCCTTGATTTGCTATGATGAGAAAAATGTGTGGACCGCATTCCGATTCTCTCTCTCCCTCTCTCACTTCACTAGGACCCAGCACTGTGGTTGGCAGAGTCAGCACCACATGCCCCAGAGCCCTGAGAGGAGCACGAGAATACGTCCGGAAAGTGGGATGACTGGTCACTTGTACCCAGTTGAAAGGATCAAAAAGCAAGTTCCCTATTCCCAGATCGTTTTTTCGGTCCTGAAGAGAAACTTCTCTTTGTGAGGAGGGTAAAGAGCAGTCCAGGCCATGGTGGAGAGGCACCCAGAGTTGTTCTGGCTCAGATGTAACTAAGGCAGTTCAGATCCTCCCGCCCAGGCATGGTTTATTCTCTGCCCAGGAAGCTCTGTAGGTCTCATTCCTTCATGTGGTCTTATTCCTACTGTGGCTGTCCACCTATTTCTGCCTGAATGTCAGGCCTGGAAATGACTCTATGAGGGTGGAGGATGAAACGGCAACAGGGATGTGAGTCAGAGCCCAGAGCTCACACGGTTCCTGGTAGCTCAGGTGCAGGAAGGGCCCCTCAGTGACAGCTCTGCTTGCCCAGTGTGTAGAGCTTGAGAGTTTCTTATGGTGTCTGGCCCAGAGCCCTGCCTTCTCAGGACCATCAATGGCTCCCCCTGCTGGTCTCAGCTCCTGGTCCTCCAGCCTCTCTGACACTCCTGGATGGGCCCTGGGACTATTGCAGATGGATCGTTCCGATGACACTGTCCCAAATGAGGGAGTGAAGAGGTCCCCTTGTGGTGTTCAGGGCTCAGAGATGAGTTTTTCCAATTCGGTCATGGCCTCCAGGCCCCTGGTTACACAGTTATGCTCCCAGACCTTTCAGGAGCATCTGGCATCTGAATTTGTTCCTGTCAGGTCCATGAGGTCATTACAGACTGGGAGCATCTTCAGTCCAGGCTCAGGCTCAGTGCTCTGCAGAGTCCCTGGGTGGCTCATACCTGCTGGTGAGTCTTCATGGCTTACTCCTACTGGCTGACTCATTTGGTGGTGGTGACTGTTGCTGGGAAGGTCTACAGTTGAATTTTCCACATACCACTCTGCAAGCCTAGGCTTTTCGTGGTCACCTTTATGCTGAGAATATAGTGTTGTCATGGGGCAGTGTCTGTGCTCTTCCTTGCTTCTCTTGGTGTAACCCTCCCCCAAATTTTTACAGAAGAGTTTATTGATTTCTTGAGAGAGACAGTGTGACTAACAAACAGGTCAGAGGGAAGGAGAGAGACCACTCCCCCCTTACAGTCACTATGCTGTCTTTTTTTTTTTTTTTTTGAACACCTTCCAGGAC